CTGTTTCCAATATCAATATTATATGTTCATTTCACTGGGATTTGGTAGCACAATGTGTGATATTACAGGTATCAACTGTCCCATGCAAATTTTTTATTTATCTTCTAAAATTGTCAATAAAGACTTATTATATCGTGCTTTGCTTTCATTAAAAAACAAAAAAGCCCCCCAAACACCAACAAATTCTGCTATGTTGATATCCTTCGACCAAAAAGTGTAAAGGAAAACAAAACAAAACAAAACAATCCACCACCAATTTAGTGGATGTTTCTTACTGTTTCTAAATAGATAATGGGGATGCAACAACTTCCTATAAAACTTTACTGCCTACAGTAATTCTGGCAACATTAAACTTTGTTTGCTGTTTTAATCACTTTGTCAATAAAAGTACACCAGAGCATAATTTCCCCTTGATATAAATATGCAATTAATATTGGTACTAATGGATTCTGTACATGTACACAGAAAAAAAAAGTATGTGGTTCTGTAATCCTTGCACACATGAACAACTCAATCATGGTAATAATCACAGGTAATTATCACAGGTAAAGAATTTACCACAGCCCAACTCATTCTACAACACAGCCAGTGGTAAAACAAATGATGGGAAAACCAATGCTGGAAAGAGTTCAAAGAAATAGATAAAGTTTTAATTCAACACCAAGATGCTGCTCTTGCTCATGGTGTTTCCATGCACTGCTTTTAAGCACACAATCACAGCAATTTCTTTAACTACACTGAAGAGTTATATACTAATTAAATACATTAAAAGGACCATAGTTAACCAAACAAACAAGCAAAATTTCTTATTGCAGGTTAACACAATAATTGGATTGTTTCCCAATTGGCTTGCAAATGGAAAAATCCTTGATATTTTGAAGCATTGGCATTGCTACAGTGAATAATTTTGTTTTCCTTGCAAAAGTTAATAAAAGTGTGTTCACAACTACATTAGAACAGACGGTGTATTGTTCAAAACATGCATGTGGGCAGGTCTACTTGCAGAGAGTTCCAAGAAATTGAGACTGGCTACCTCTCTGGACTGGCTGTCTCATCCCTCCTGCTTTATCCTCACTGATGTATTCACACTGCAAGTTTCATTTTGCCTTAAGTAGGTTTTAGATCAGCCTTTATGCTCAGATAATTCTTCCCCTCAGTAAAAAGCAAGACTACCATTACCAGTATGTTTTCTATGATATATAATATATATATAAAAGCATATACACACTATATACTCATCTATATATCACCAAGATGTTTCACTTGATCCCAATATACCGTGGGATTTCTTTGTTGCTACATATATTCTAAAAATGACATGTCTAATTTAAAAGTCCATAGACTGGAAAGAGAGAGGCAAGAGGGAGCAGGGAATCCACCACAGGTGTTTCCACAAGATATCTGCAGGTAGATTTATGGTAAGAACTTTGATCCTTTGTCAAACATTCAATTTACACAGTTTTAAAACACCTTCTTATCCAGGTGAAGAAAGCACTAGAAACATATCCTTTACATTCATTTCTGTGGGATAAAAAAATTTGTGGTACAGTCTTGAGTGCCACTTTCCATTCCCACCACTCCTCCCTCTAAAATAAAGCTTTTCCTTTTTTTTTTTTGAGATATAATTACCAAATTAATTAGCAAGATTATTTATCACAGGGAAAATGCTGTATCTCCCACTGGAACAGAATTCTAACCATCATTAAACTTTTCCTGGCAAAATTTTTACATACAACTCGGCCTTAAGAGAGAAAAATATTTTGCCATTTGCTGTTCAATTCTCAATTAACTTTAATCTGTCCAAAGAAGCAAATGTCTACCTGGTGCAACAAACAGCTGAGATCAGATGCCTGATGGTCTAATTCAAAACAGAAGTTACTGACACCTGCTTTCTTAGAGGCTGCCACAGGAACAGCCACTTTTTGAGCTCTGGGTTAGGAAGATGCCTGAGCTGCTGCTATTTCTCACCTGGAGCTGAGGTAGAACCCAGTGACATCTGAAGCACTGAGTTTAGAGAAACTGAGGAGGGGTTAACTGTGAGGGGTCAATCTCTCCCACCGGGCAGCAACTGGCAGAACAAGAGGACACAGCCTCAAGCTACGTCAGGGAAGGTTTAGGTTGGATATTAGGAAAAAAATTTTCACTTAATGAATAATAAAATTCTGGAATTGTCTTCCTAGGGAGGTGGTGGAATCAGCATCTCTGGATGTGTTTAAAAAAAGACTGGACTTGGCACTTGGTGCTATAGTCTAGTTGTGGTGTTAGGGCATAGGTTGGACTCGATGATCTTAGAGGTCTCTTCCAACCTCATTATTCTGTGATTAAGGAACTTTTTACAAGGTGAATGGGAAGAACAGCCCAGGGTTGTCATTTACCACCGTGGTGCTTCTAGGACAGGGAGTTTAACCCAGAACTGCAGCTGAGCCGTGGCACAACTCCTGGACACAACAAACACTCGTGGAAAAGAGTCCCTGGCCAAGGCTGGGGCTGCACTGCAGGCACAGCACAGCCAGGAGCCAGCAGCCCCCCGAGAGCAAAACCCAAAATTCCCTCCTGCAGGGGAAGGGTGGCTCCATCACAGGGATGGTCACCCACTCCCACTCTGAGCTTTAGCTCAAACACCGCGCTTAACTTTTAAATAAAGTTTGAGATAACTTGCAGCACTTTGCTCACTGACACAGCTATGTTTTATTAATGACAAAAATGGGTTAATCTACAAAAATTGCACTCCTTTGACTTTATTAGTCAAGAGGAAAGTACTCTAATTAGGAGACTGTGCTGTCAAATAAATGCAAATGTGCGTATTTTATTTTCTGGGTTAAAAGCTCAAACCCAAGTCTATTATAAATTAAAATCAATACTTGAAACATTTCAGCTTTCAGTAATAAGCAACAACCAAAAGAATCGGGTTATGAAATATACTGGTAGAAGTAAAATGAATTATTTAATAAAACTTGGGAGAGTAAGGCATTTCTATTGCACACATTTAAATATCAATTAGGAATAAAACCAATAAAGGATGATGAACTGAATCATCTCTGTTTTACAACCAACCCTCTCTAAAATTGACTGAGGGTAACAGAAACTAAGTTTGCAATGTAAATTTCATTCAATTTGAAATAGGTTAAAATTTTAATTTATTAACTGGCTGAAATTTACAATGTCTGAACTTAAAATTAATAAGAAATGCATTTATAGAAGTAAATATAATAGAAGAGTGGCACCTGCTATGCAGAGCATGCTAGTAACCTCCTAAAGGAAAAAAAAATCTAGGGATCTACTGAGAAAAAACATAAAATTGCACAGAAAAAAAAAAACACCAAGCAGTTTAAGAGCTGCTTATTTACTGTATTGCAACCCATTTCTTCACAGGAGTAATGGCAAGTTATGCATCAATGAAAAGAGTTCAAATCTGACTTTTTTGTCCATGTCTATTACCACATCTAGAGCCCTCCCAATCACAACATCCTGTCTAACCTCATGAAAGTACTGCAGAAGCTGTGGTGTGGAGATAGCAAAGCTTTCAAGAAGTCATTTAGACATACTCAAGATTTTAAAGGTACCTTGCAAGCTGCAATCTCACACCCTCACCACCCTTTTCAAGTAAACCTGAAATAAAATACTCCAGTAAAAAACTAACTTAAAGAGAGACTGATATTCCTTTAAACAGCTCAAACCCAGTTTTTCCCCCCTACACTGGACAGGTTTAAATATTTCACAGCAGTAGTCACTGTGGATGGTGTTACCCAGAATGAAAGAGCATCAGCAGTTCAGCTACTTTTGATGTGTAACAACAATTATTATTTATCCAGGACTGATCACACAGTGACCTGAAATCACCAGCACAGGTGGGGCCAGCTGACTGACAAGCACTGGGAGAGGAGCTTGCTAAGCCCAAGAAGAATTGTTGCTGTTCAGGATGGATGGCTGCACAGATTTGCACCAGAGGCATCCTGGAGGACTTGCTGGGAAAGGACAGACTGTGGCTCAATCTCCACCAACAGCAAAATCCCAGAACTGTGAGATGGGCAGTCCCAGAGAGCAGCATCCCCTTAAGTCAGGGTTCTGAAGCCACAAGCTGCCCTCTGCTCCCCAGGTTTGGCCCAGGGGGGCTTCCAGGCTGGGGCTCCCAGGGAGGGGCTGCTCCTTGTCCATTCCAATGCCTGAGCAGGAGGCTCCAGGAGCTCCAGCTCCCTTCCTGCCACCTCACACAGCCCCAGAGTCCCTAACAGAGCTCCTTTCTTCTGCTCACATAGAAACCCACAGAGCAACACAGCAGTGTGAGACCTGACAGTCCTCTCTAAACCTCCACCATTTGCAAAACAGCTCAAAAGACAATAGAGGCAAGGTGCAGAAACACAGCTGATTTCCTCTTGGACACATTGCTGTCCTAATATGGTAACTTTATAGCAATTGCAGTAAGGGAAAAAACCTTAAAGATTGGTATGACAAATCCATTTGTACCCTTCTCCTCCCCCCTAAATCCCCCCCCCCCCTTTTTTTTTTAAAAAAAAACCCTCTTTCTCCCTTTTGCTTGATGGTTTCTTTAATGGATAAAAGCAAAGATCACTACACTTTCTTTCCCTTAAGATGAACCTTCAGAGTATATAAATTGCTTGAGTAAATAAAAGAAACGAGGGAATTACTAATTTAATGCTCTTCTATCTCTTGGGGGGAAAGCCCATGTAATTAACTGTAATGAGATTAAACTAACTTGTTGTTATTAATTTCCCAGTGCTGGGAAACTATATCAGAGACCTATAAGGCTGTGTATTAACCGGCTTTATCAACATTTGGCTTGCATCCTTCAGTTTTTACACCAGTTTTAAAGGAAAATACTTAACTTCATTGAGTTGCAAAGGCACTCAGAAGTATAAGACATTGAATCCAGTCCCTTCAGGTAGGGACACAAGATTCATGTGAAGCTGAACACCATGAATGGGTGGAGCCAAAATGCTACCTAAACCAGAGAAACAGAAGAATAATTACTAAATTCTTACCAAAACTTTTTTCCATTACTTCTTTCTGACACATATCTTGAACATTCACTGTACAATTCACGATGAACTCTGGGGAGGAGCAGTCATTATTTAGCTGGAACTCCTCACACTGGTAACACTGTATTTGCAAACCCGAACCTGGAACAGATAGAGATTTGTTAAAGACCATAGAATGCTTTCTTTTGGAAAGGACCTTAGAGATCATCTCATCCCAACCCCGTGCCATGGGCAGGAACACTATCTGCTCAACTGAGTGCCCCATCTAACCTGCCCTTAAATAACAGCGATGGCATTAAAAAACCCAAACCAACACAAACAAAAACCAAACAACACGTGCCAGAAACCTCCCTTATCCTTCCCCCTTCGCTGTTAGCTACTCCACAGCTCAGCCAAAGTATCGCTTTGACAAACATAAAGTAAAACCCGCCCAGCGGAAGCCGAGCGCTGCCGGCTCTGCTGATGCTCCTTTCCGCGGGGCAGCCGCTCCGGCGCTGGAGATGCCGCCGCCAGGAGGCGACGGCCACCGGCATCGGTACCGGCATCGGTACCGGCATCGGCATCGGTACCGACACAACCGGGCAGCCGCTGCCCCACGGCACAGCAGGCTGAAAGCCGCCCGCGCCCCGCAGAGAGCAACCCGGCTCAGAGACACTCCGGCTCTTATCTGTGCCGACGGCTTTACTTAGCTACTAATTAATTACAAATTTTCATTACTATTTTGCCACGCACAATTAAAGCGGCGGAGCATCCCTCGCCAGCCGCCTTTATCACGCAAACGGGGCGCTCCCATCGGCTCCCGCACCCTCGTCCCGCGGCGGGGACCCCCGGGCCGACCCCGCGCTCCGCCGGCACCGACCCGCCGCCATCCGCGGAGAGGCTCCGGGGCTGCGTTCGCCCCGCGGGCAGCCGGCGCTGGGGACACCGGCGGGGGCTCTGCGGGCCGCGGGCAGGACGGGGCTCCGCCGCTCCGTTCCTTTGTAGCGCCCGGCGGAGCTCCGTCGAGCGGCTGCGAGGGGACGGAGGTTCCGAGCGGCGCGGAGCCCTTACCTGGCGCCAGGCACAATCCGCAGAAAGTTGCAGCGAGGAGGAAGAGCCGCATCCTCCCGGAGCCGCCGGGCTGGCGTGCAGTCGCGAAGGGGCATCAGAAGCGGAGACGCAGCGGAGGCGCCGCGCACTTGTGCCGCTTGCCCGCCGCCTCCGCTGCGGAGCGGCGCCCCGGGAGCCGGCGGCGGAGCCCGCCCTGCCCAGCTCCGCGCCGCGCTCCAGCCTCGCCGGAGTTGAGCGCCGAGACTGGAAGAAACTGTAGGAGAAGCGAGGGCTGGGGGGCGGCTCCCCCCTCCCTCCCCCAGCACCATGTGATGCCGGCGGAGCGGGGCGGGGATCCCCGCCAGCCGCCCCGCACCTCTCCGGGAGTTCAGCGAGGGAGGGGAGCCCCCGCACCGCCGGCTCCGGCTCCGTCTCGCACGGCGCTGCCGAGGGGCCCCGCGACCCTCTGCCCTCCGGGGCTGCTCATCATCACATCCGCGCCTCCTCCTCGGCTCGGGCACAGACTCTGCGCCGTGGGACTCGCCGCGGTCCCCGCCGTGTCCCGGTCCCTGCCGTGTCCCGGTCCCGCCGTGTCCCGGTCCCTGCCGTGTCCCGGTCCCGCCGTGTCCCGGTCCCCGCCGTGTCCCCGCCCGCCCGAGCGCACAGGTGGCATCCGGAGCGCGTCCGCAGCGCTGCCGGGCCGGGCCCCGCTCCCTCCCACGAACGCCCCCGCAGCACCCACGACCCCGGCAGGGGCTGAGGGGAGGCGCGGCCCCACCATTCCCTCCTCCCAGCCCCCTAAAAGGGAATTCCAGCCTAACAAAACGGCGGGGCGGGGGGAGAAGGGCGCGGTGGCCGCGTAGGTGCCGGAGCGGCGCTCAGACCCCGCGTCCTCCGCGGGCACACGGCGGGATGGGCCGGGGCGGGGGAGGCGGGATGCGGCGGCAGGAGCTGACGGTGGGATGGATGGCATGGCATGGCATGGCATGGCATGGCATGGCATGGCATGGCATGGCATGGCATGACATGGCATGGCATAGCATGAGGTGACGAGGAGCCGTCGGGGGCTGGGCAGCGCCCGTGGGGAGGGAAGGGCAGGGGCAGCCCGCGGTGCTGCGCCCACGTCGTCCCTGCTGGGACCGTCTCCGTGTGTCTCTCCGCATCACCACGTTATTTCCCACTGATCGCTCCTCAGCTCTGCTCCAAGAAGAGTTAATTAAGCTGAAATCGCTGTTTAACAGCCCCGTGTCACGAATTCCCCTTCTGCGCGCTGTCCCAGAGCGGGGCAGCCCGGTGGGTACCCCCTGCCCCAGCCCAAGCTGTCACAGCATCATCCCCTTCCCAAAACCCCTCAGCAGGCACCGGTAGGCAAGAGAAGTTTTATTTACGAAAGATGTTTCAATGAAAATTTCTTAAAAGTTGAAAAAGACGATGCAAGTTTACGGCAGAAATGAATTAAAATATAACAAATTGCACAAAATAGTAACACTGATCATACAATATTTCAAAGATTAACAAGCATGTGCTAAAGAAACTGTAGAGTCTAGAAATACTCCAAATATATCTAGTTTACAATTGCTGTACAAAAAGCAGTTATAAATACTTCACATCTAGAAAAAATACACAGAACCTTTGAAATAGACTCTCCCTTACATATATAAACAACCTTTGTAGAAAAAACCAAAAACACCCAATACAGCCCAATCCCCCTGCTCCAAGATATGTTTGAACTAGTACTGGTTAGCACCAACATCTTCGTGTGTCACAAACAGGAGCTGTTTAGTTTTTTAAAAAATAATTTTAGTGTTCAGAATTTACTTAAGACCAAACAGAGACTAGGAAAGATAACACAGTATGGTACATTTATAATTTGATGGGAAATGAGTACAGTGCAGAGGAGGTGGAAGTTGAAAAGCCACGTTGTGGTTAGAAGTACAGGGTAGTTGATGTGGTTCTCATTCCTGCAGGACTCCTGTTTGTGTCAGCAGTGAATTGCTTTGACCCTGATCTTTCAAACAGTTATGTGCATGATTGATGAAGCCAATGCCAGCAGTATCAGGCCTTTTAATCTATTCATTTTCTTGCCATGTCAAAAGTCAAAACCCTTTTGAAATAAGACACCTGTTGTGAAGTTGCAATAACTGAAATGCATGTTTCCCTAGAATACCTGTATGGAATTGCACTAAAAAGAAAAAATAAAATATGTTTTCTAAAAGGGAGTTCATGAGAGTTTATTAAAGACAATCTGGCAGACTCAAGTTTATGGTAATGCAGTGTTCCTACATACAGTTTTAAGACTAGGACAATTATAACTCTTTTTAAAAAAATCTACTAGCTTTTTTGTTAATATTCACACCAATTTCTTTAAGTTAGTAATCTGCCATTACAGGAGCATAGCACCAATTTAATATTTATTGCTGTCGTGTATCCCTACAAATATATTTTCCCAATATATTTACAACTGTACAAATATTCACAAAAGTGCAAAATTAAGACTTTATTCTGTGTATTCGTTGTGTTGGGTGTGTTGAGTCCCCTGCACCACCGTGATGCTGCCCTGCCTTATTGCTGTGTGCTGGGAGGTCAGAACACCCTGATGTGAGCAGAGCAGAGCGAGCTGGAGGGGGAATTGTCCAACACTGTCTCCTCTCCCTCCTCACTCCACGCTCACCTTCAGCTCCATTCCGTGCTGCAGCCCGCTGGGAAGTGTCCCTAAACGTCGTTGGAGCCTTGGCTGGCACAAGAGGAGAAGCTGTCATACAGGGAATCACTCAAGGATTCCAAATTGTCCACATCCTGCCGACCCGAGCTATTCAAGGAAGCTGCTTCTTTCTTTCCATTTTCTTCCTTCTGTCCTTCAACCTTGTTCAGACAGTTCTTCTCTTTTTCTAATAAAAGTACATTATTGCTGTTAAATTTATTGAGAGACTCCAGGGAAATTTTAGATACTCTATTCTGGGAATCTTCTTTTGTTTCTTCAGTTGGCTTCAATTTCTGTAAAAGTGAGAGAATTATTGAAAGCATATTCCTTTAAAAGTTATCCTATTGTACACCATTAATTACCATCTTTCTAAAGTTCACGGGGTGAGAGGAAATAGATTGTTAGATGCTTAAATAACTGTTATGATTAAATAGAACATTAGTGTCCATTTTAGGATAAATCATAACTTTAATGATTCTGCTAAGACAAATGGGACTCCATTTATGTAACACTCAAATGCTACTAATGTCCTAAGTAGCAGACCCTGGCTGTGCATGAGTTAAACATCTCCACCATCCTCACAGGAATTCAGATCTTCTCCTGCACGAATACTTCAGGGGGGTATGTTTAAATAGGTATTTGTTTAAGTAGAGTTTGGGAAAAAAAAAAAAAAAGGTGCAGAGGAGAAAACAGCATTTTCCATAAATTAAGGATGCAAATAAAACTTGCTAGAGAATAGCCTCACATTTTGCATGTAGAAGCCTATCGATTTCCACAAAGCCAAACCCTCTCTAATAGACAAGAAAGCAACAAGAGAGGAAATTGCAGAGAACTGGGCCGATCCCCACAGACCAGAATCAATCAGATATTGGCCAGGCTTTCCCACAGAAATGGTGTAATTCTGTGGCAACACTGGACCATGTATTAGCACATTATATTAAAAACACACGGTAGGATTGTACCAGAGTAATTTTATCCCTTTGTGAGCTACTGGTATTTTCAATCAGAGATCCGACCAAGGAATCATTAGGGAACTGTGTAGGGAGCAGCTCAATAAAAATGACCTGCTGTTCATATATAGAGTGTTTCAAAATCTGAGTAACTAACTCCTCTTACAGATCGTATTACCAGAGATATATGGGATAGCATTCAACATTTTACAATCAACATTCAATAACCTCCTGGGCAGATAAGATTCAAGCATTCTGAGATATGCCATCAGAGTGCAAAGCCATTCCTCATTTTTGGTACAGCCATCAGATGGCAAAGACAGAATCAGTAAATTACTGTAAATCCAAGGCATGAACATTTCTGTTTAGCTAGAAATGAAATGGCATTTTAAGCACACTGAAGATATAGCTTGGGCAGATGTGTGGATGCTGTGGGTCATTACATGTGCAGTTCTAAAGGGTCCTTACAATTTTCTGAAGAATTCAAGCTTCAAGTCAGTGGAATGTTGTGCACACTGTGCTGTTTCTCCCTGGCAATCTTTGGTGAGAGGAAGACAAATTGTTACATAGTTTGATTGCTTGTTTTGATGGATAGTTAGATAAAAATTGAAATGCCAGTCCAATGACTGTTTTTGCTCTGATTTTGTCACATCTCATAAAATGACAATGCATGGATTAGATTACTATTTTTGGGAAATGTTTCAAACAAACTTAAGCAAAGCAACAGGAGATCCTAAAGTCTTGGCAAATGAACATTTTCTGTTTGATGCATTAATTAATCGTGAGTCTAAAAGGTTTTAGGGAATGTTGTGTTGGATTCTAATTTTAGATGACAGTTAAAACTAAGGTCTTCAATATCTGTAATTAAAATGTTTTCTGAGAGGAATATAACCCTTGGTAATGGGAATGAACACAAATTTAGGACCCTACAATAGAAATTTTTCACAACTTCACCTTAAAATGCTCTCGCCTTTGCCCTCATTTGAAATACTGAAAAACTTGTTTCATTTCTCTGTAGGCCAGATGAGAATATTCTCAGCCATGGCATCAGTAACACATGTTAGCACTTTTTGCTTTTCAGAGTGCTAAGCCTAAAATACTTTATTATATGGCAGACTAAATGATGTTTCTCTGTCTTTAATTTTCCCACGTCTCAGCTTTTCTTTAGATAAATTGAATGTGACTAGTTAGCACAGACTTGGGACTGCAGGACTCAATATTTGGATTAGTAAGGCCTGTGATAAAACTCTTATTGATTCCAATGGAGCCAATTTCAACTCCTGGGCAGAAGGAGCACCTGGAGAATCTGCAGGACAGAGCAGTCTGGGTGAAGCACCACAATCAGAGGAGGATTCTGGCTATCCTACTGAAGGATGGATTCACACCTCAGGACAGACCAGGCTGAATTCATTGGTACGTTCTGCATATATGCTGTATCAATAGTTTTTTTACACCCTTCAAGCACAACCTATGCTACAATCCTACTTTAATCACACCTTAGTTTCTCATTTATTTTATAAAGCACATTAGAGAAACTGCAGGGAACAAAAGTACTCCACAAATTTTAAACAAAGACATTGAATTGAGTGAAATTGAAGTGAACTGAAGCCCATCA